TGTATGATTCTATTTGTTATATTATACATATTGTGCTCAGCTTCCTAAGATATTCAATTTACAACTTTGTATAATTGTTTTGATATGCCTTGTAAGACTTTGATTCCTCAATAAAAAAAAAAAAAAAAAAAACAAGTTGCCAAACAACAAAAAACCTTACAAGAAGAAGAGGAAGAACGCGTGTTATATTTAATAGGGGGAAAAAATAATAATAAATGTGAAGGATGTGTAGAAAAAGAAAATGTAGCACATGTACTAATGAACTGTAAAACTTATGAACATGAAAGGGAGAAAATGAGAAGGATGGTTGAAAGGACAGGCCAAGAATTTAGTCTTAATGGAATATTAGAAAATGAAGGAAATATCACGGAATATAAAGATTAAGGAAAGCATTCTTTATTTATCTACAAAAAATAAAAAAAATGAATTCGATGTAAAGTAATCTTGCTACACACGCATGTACAGTAGGTGGCAGTATAAACCTTCAGATTGGCTTGCAATCCGCCATAATAGAAGAGGAGAAGAAGTTGGAAAATAACGCATGCGCAAATGAGCTTCCGGTAAGGATCGGCTCGTGAGAACAGACGCCGGTGCTAGCTTGGCTGCTAACGGAGCGGTCCTTGCTTCCTTCCTTCCAGTGATTGACACCAGAGGAGGGGAGCCGCTGGACGGTAAGAGGCGTCTGTAAAGGTCCGAAGTAGCTTAGCTAGCTTACTGTTAGCTTTTTTTTAAAGCATATTTTGTCTTTATTTAAATTATCAGGATTTACAGACAAACATGGCTGCATGCTGCATGCGAGTTTGTTTCTTCAAGTCAGAATACATTGAAAATATTGCCAGGGGGAGCATATATCTACATGAACATGAACATAAAAAAAATAAACTAAATAAATAAACATATAGAAAATTATAATAAGAATAATTATAAAATAAAAACAGTTATATAAAATAATATGATAAGAAAGTATAACATAAGGGGAGAATTCAGTCTTTGTTTAACTGTTTACTTCTGTTGGGTAGTTTTTTAGGATATTATATATTTTTTGTGCTTTAGGAATGTTCAGAATCTTTAATGATTTTATATAAAGCTTAAACTTATAAAAAAAAAGTTTAGGAGTTGATTTAGCAATTCTAAATTTCTAAATGAGAAATTACTAGACTATTACTAGACTAGAGATATAATTGTATCAGTGCAGAGCTGATCAGCCTTATTTTGCAATATTAGACCTAAGGTGACATCATCTCTGGAGATAAAGGTTGGGAATGAAGATCGCTGTTGTTTAATCTATCTATGCAAATCACTCCAAAATGTCTCACAACATGAGAAGAACACATAGTCCGTAGTTTAAATCTCATTTTCACAGAACCTACATTTGTTATCATCCATACCAAAGCAAAGTCTCAATAGTTCGATAGATGGGTAAATGTTGTTCATTATTTTAAAGTGTGTTCCTTTCACCTTTGGAGATATTAAGTCCAGCACTGATCAAATATAAACAATGTGGAAGAAAAAAATTCTGTCTGTTTTAGGAGGTTTGGTGTCTGAGGGGGAATCATTGCTTAGCCTGACCCCTGCTGAGCCATTTCTGGTTCTGTATGTCTGATTGCAGGTCCAGGATGGGGCGTTCCTCCAAAGACAAGCGGGACATCTACTACCGTCTGGCCAAAGAGGAGGGCTGGAGAGCCAGGAGTGCCTTTAAGCTGCTGCAGCTGGACAATGAGTTCAACCTGTTCTCAGGTGAGACCCACACCACCTCCCAACTCTAGAAAGTAAAGGAAGTGCAACACTAAATAAATTGCAGAATATTCCTGTCCTTCATTGGTCCAGAGTCCAGCTGCTTTTCATCTAATCTGATTCTGACTGCAGCTCTTCTGGATGTGGTCTTTGAGGTATCATAGAGACCCTGGATCCAGGTGGGTCCGGGGGGCAGTTCTGGGTTCATTTAAAGGATTAGCTTCATTTTAAAAATCTCCCAGAGCTCTGAATGATCCTTCATCTGGGCATAGGGAGGATTCACCACCTTCAGACATACCTGGTCACGAAGCCCCTCCTAAAATGACCCTTTCCTGAGGTTAGGAACATCTTGGTCTTTTCTCAATTCACAAGAACCAAACACAGACTTTTGTTCTTTCCAAGTCTGTTCTTGAGAAGAAAACAGGAAAGTCTGGACTCGGGGAGAACAGGAGGACGCAGCATAAATCTGGGTCAATTGAAACAGAAGTGTAATGATGACATCACCTCATTCAAAGCTAGTCTGGAGCTGCATTTCACCTCCTGTTATTAATAGTCTCTAGATAATAATAAATTATGATTTTTTTTTTTCATTTAGTAGAGGAATAGTAATGAACACAGTCAGATAAACACAAATCAAATCAACATTTTACCAAATAGAACAATCAAACCGCCATCAGAGCCGGCGGTCCTTCACACACGGCTATGCAGAGAGAGGGCTGCTACTGGCCGCTGCAGACGGGCTGACGTTAACCCCGGCCGCTGCAGAGAATGGGCCATTTAGTGAAGCTTAAAGTATAATGTTCTCACCTTAAATAATCTTAAAACGTACTTTTATGGAACAACAGCAATTGAAAAGAGAAGTTTTAACTTAAAGCTGTAGTGGAGGATGTTCTTATTCTGGGTAGATCATCGTAATCAGTGGTCCTCCTAACTGTCAATCATCTTGGTGAGATCCTCCACTATGTCTTTAACACTCTGAGCTCAGTGAGGCTAGCCTGGAAGCTGCTGCTGCCGCAGTGCATGCTGGGACACCTGTCAGTCTGGAGAACTGACAAGTCTGCTCTGATGCATGCTGGGTAAAGAGATTTAGACTTATGCTACATTCAAACCGCACATGATGGAGGCAGCAGAAGCAGCCGATTTACGTGCAAGGTCATTGGTTGATGCGCATCAAGGCACTGCAGGACCTTCTGATGCACCTTGATGATATAGACCAGGAGTCTTCAACGTTTTCCAGCCTAAGAACCCCCAAACTGATGGGGAGATAGAGCGGGGACCCCCTAATTATATATATATATATATATATATATATATATATATATA